AACCCTCAAGCTCCCAGGCCTCTGTACTGGTAGAGGACCGAGCTTGAGGATGACACAGATCACCCAAGAGGGTGAGAGGAGTTTTTTTTTATATATATATATATATATAGTTATACGATGTCAATGATGATACTATAGTTACATGTAACTATAGTAAAACAAAATGAAAATGTAAGCACACCATTACATCAAAGGTTTATTTTGACGTTATATAATTATATTAATAATATAATATAATATCAATAATATTAAATAATTTGAATTATATAAATATAAAATGAATGAGCAGTGAATCAAACGTCATTAGTGACGTAGCTACAGTGGAGCGCTCGATGTGATTCGTTTGATTTCTACTTTTACGATGTTTCACATTGAGGACAGCGCCACCCCGCCCGATCGGGACACTCCGTACAGCGTAACAAACACACATAACGATAGGGGCGGGGTTTACGCTGGCTCAGCCAATCAGAGCAGCGTATGCGAAGCGCCCACCAAAACAGTTCAATTTGAAATTCAAACGGCCGAAGACTTGAGACGGAAATCTGCAGCGAGATTCAACTCTACTAAAGGTAACTTCTTCATAAATCAGAGCTTTTTATTCAGCATTGTGCTCATCTGGGTTTTTAAACTGGACAAATAAATGCTCATAAATCAAACAAAAGTGATATTCATTGTAATTTAACGTTTATATTTACCTTTTTCTGTTCACGCTAACGGCCACTAGCCTAGCTCACAGGGACGTTGGATTAACAGTTAACGTTTAATAGTTTAATAATTAAATAGTTTAATAATATAATAATTTATTACTTTAATAGTTTAATAGTTTAATAATTTATTAGTTTAATAGTTTACGGGTCGGAGCTGCTTTAACACAATAAGATCCTTTATGGCTCGTATGTTTGAGACGATAGAGATGAACTATAGTTGGTTATGAGATTGTGCAGTTAAACAGGCTCTAACATCAGTGTAAGGGTTAATTTATCTATCAGCCTCTTATCTATTACTTTACTTTACTTTACTTTACTTTAGAGCTAAACATCTGATTTTACAAAAAAACAAACAATGCTATGTCTGTTTACTGACTGTTTGATCCATTAATCTCTAATGAACTCCTGTAAACAAAGACGATACCCAATAATAACAAATGTCTGCCTCATTTATATAACATGAACCTGTGTTTCCTTTTTAAATTAACTGCTTTATTTGTCTCTATTGATTGATTTCTACTATTTTATACTTGCAGGCACATTATGGGTTATTTTGTTGTTGTTGTTGTTGTGCAAAAACAACAAAAACAGGTCAATAAATACAACCACAACTTGAGAAACAGGCTTGGCTGAATATTTGTTTTCATCCAGATGGATAGAAGAGTGGATTTTAGAAGTAGAGCGGCAGCAAGTGTTGTGAAATTACTTTTTAAATCATGTCTGGGTGCCGGTGTTGACGTCCCTCTGCAGCTGTAATGGTTTCACAGAGCAGGCACAAAGGAGCGAACCCTCCTGGTTGATATTCGTGTGAGAAGTGTTAATGCTTGAGACTTTTCTCTGTGTCTGTTTCGACTATAATTTTCCTCTCAACCTCCAACAGATCATGTCCCGCTTGCCAGTTATTTCAAGCAAAAGGGTCCTTACAAGCAGCAGCAGCAGCTCAGAGAATGGCCAAGACTTTGCGCCTGCTCAGGTTTGTATTAAAATCATCTTTCATTTCTTTATACCAGTTGTTTTATTCTGCTGCTGAACATAAAGCTGCTTGTGAAGTAACCATTTATCCAACACCAGGATATAAACAGTAAAATGGATTTCTGTATGGATGGATTCTGTTCTTCTCCTTTTATATTTTAATGTTTAATAATGGGACTAAGACATGTAGCCTGAATAATAGAGTTTGTAAACATTTCTGCATCTCTAAAATGATGGTGCATGATGGGTGTGGAAGAAAACGTTGGTTGTTATAAGTGAAATCGTTGCTCTCATGTTGTTCTGTTTTTGTGTTTGCAGAAGAAGCTTCGTAAGGACCCAGATCCTGTCAAACCACGTGCAGCTGCTACCATCATCGGTGGAAAGCGGCCCGCTGTTGCAGCATCCAGGGCACCTGTCTGTAAGTCACTGACTCAACCCGGAGTTTTAGAATCTGCATAAAATTAATTTTTGAGGTTCCTCTGTCCTGTTTAGACTAAACCTTTACCTCTCTGTCTCACTTTGTCCCGTACACAGCTCGGCCAGTCAGAGGTGTGGGAGCTGCCACCGTGGCTGTTGGTCCTTCCAGAGGTAAGATGAGCTGTGATTGTATATGTTATATTGTATATGTTATATTGTATGTCAGGATTGCAGGCGTCGTATTGACAAACCCTTACCTGGAGGAGTGACTGAGCATTACAGTTTAGTTTAGGTCTTATGTATTAATAAAGATTATATCGTTGTACAGTTTACCAGCTGGTAGCAAATAAACGTAGAAGTGCTTTGAGTCCACCATAAACTCAAGGTATTATTAACAAGATGATAGAAGATGATTTCTAGTGTTGTTGAGTGATTTGGACGTGTTTTCTTCATGCATTGTTCCTTCTTGTTTCATCAGGTGTCCTGAAACAATCTATAGCTTCAACTACAGCAAAGGGAGGCAACATCAAACAACCTGTTGCGCCTGCGGGTGCAAAAGCAGGTGAGGAATCTATTCCACTTGAATCTTGTTATTTAATAAATGATGTCAGATCACGTGAAAAAGTGTTTGGTTTTTAGTTTAGAGTGCTGCCAGCCGTTCTACCAGATCTTAGAATATAGCATGACGTGATCTCTAACTGTATGGTCTTATTCACAATAGACTTATTTATTTTATTTGTATAAAAGATGTTGTTTACAACAGAAACAGTACCTCTTTTATATTCACGTGTCGCAGTAACCCAGAATGCAAACTAACAGGTCCTTGAACCCGAAGCAACTAAATAGAATTCAGCCATCATTAATTGGATTATTTAGGCCTGTGCTCGTCGTAACCAAGGAAACCTGGGTAGAGATCTTGCGTTCTGAATTTCACCTGTTTATGATGCTGTTGTGCACAGGTGGGGGCGCGGCCAACAAGCGACATGCATGGGACCTGAAGGGCAAGGTCAGCGACATGGAGGGCAAGATCCGTAACTACCAGACCAAGTTCAAATCGGTCAACCAGGAGAATGAGGTACTGAAAGGCACGATGATCCAGAGCCAAACGAGAGTGAGTGAAATGGAGAGAGAGCTTGAGAGGCAGAGGAGCCAGATCAGGTGCGAAGAATACTTTGTTTGGACAAATGAATTCAGTTACATATTTTACTCTCATCATTGTATTGTTACTAATTTGTCTGTTTGAATTCCATTAAATGTCCTTCCTCTGTGGTGATTTTAGTGAGTATGAGGATGAGCTGCATGCATTGGCCGGAGTCCGCAATGAGTTGGAGAAAGTCTCTAGTGAGAAGAGCACCCTTCAAAAGGAACTCTCCAATTTGGAGGGCAAATACAAGGTCATGGAGACTCTCAGAGACAGCCAAGAGACAGAGCTGCAAACTCTTAAGGTATAAAGTCTGCTGCTGGAAAGCATAAACATGCATTTGACCGATCTGACTTACCTAACCGTAATGAAACTAGTGCCATAATCTACCATACTTCTGTTGGAAAAGATTTTGAGTTGTTTGTCTTTGTACTCCAGATGAAGCTTTCAGTGCAGGAGTCAACTCTGGCCCGCCTGCAGGGGACCCTCAAAGACACAGAGGAAGAGGTTCGATCTCTCAAAGAGACAGTGGCCCAGCAGAAAGACGACCTTCATGCCGGGGAGATGGAGCGCAGACGGCTCCACAATACCATCCAGGAGCTCAAGGCAAGTTATCATGTGGAGTAACAGCTCAATGAAGGAACTTTCAGCAGATATGTGATGGGTTACCTTGTCTCTAGTTTGAGTCTAACTGGTTAAAATTTGGTTCCTTCTTCTTTTTTTTTGTAGTTGTGTTGCACTTAACCAAATCCTTCTGTCTATTTTGCAACAACCAAACAAATGTTGTTCTCTTCTCTCTAATTTGAGACTAATTTATCTATCACCCTCTCCACGCAGGGCAATATCAGGGTCTTTTGCAGAGTGCGCCCACTGGTGGATGGAGGCCTAAGCAAACACATCCAGCTCCCCGCTAGTGACGACAAGACAATAACACTGGCCAAAACAGAGGAGGTGAGAATCCTGTCAGCTTACCAGATCTCTCAAAGTAAAAAATATTTGAGTAGATAATTAAGGAAACTGTTTTTATAAGCCACAGCAGCAGGTATCTTTTAGAGTTTCTGTGATGTATTTACTATCTAACCAGCCAATTACACTGTAAAAAAGAAAAACACCTGAATGAGTTGAATGGATGTAAAAGTCACTATAACAAACCCCATCATCACAAACACACCTAAAAGAAGAAGTGATAGAAAGACACAGCGTTTTTCTGCCAAGTAAGATAAGAAAAGATAAGATGTTCTTTTATTGATCCCCTTAGGAGAAAATAAAAGGAACGCTTATCTCAAACTACGAAACTAATTTCTGCTCTTTTCTGCTTCTCAGTCTCACACAGGCAAAACTGCAGACACTCAGAAGAATTACAACTTCAGTTTTGACCGAGTGTTTGGCCCGACTGCTTCACAACAGGAGGTAAACAATAAAACACACATTACAATTTACATTTATCACGAATAAATCCGTACAAGTCTTGAAAGATTGGAAAATGCTTAATTTTAACAGTTATGTTTTGTTGTGTTAGGAATATGCTTGACAAATGATAGATTTACAATATAATCTAGTTTCATAAACACAATCACTCATGTACACCACAAAACCTTTTAATAATCATAATTTTCATAACATACAACCAAAGTAAATAAGCTGGTTAAATAAACACAGAGACCGTTTGCATTGATTGCGGTACGACTTTGTTTTGAAATACATAAATATTTTGTGTCTGTTTCCCATCAGAGCAGGAAATTCATGGTGACTTTTGTTTTCAGATCTTCGAAGAGATCTCACTGCTTGTGCAGTCTGCATTGGATGGATACAACGTCTGCTGCTTTGCCTATGGCCAGACAGGGAGCGGAAAGACATACACCATGGAGGGAGACGAGTTTGATAGGACCAGAGGAGTCATTCCCAGAGCTGTGACGCAGATCTTCAGAGCAGCAGAGAAGCTGGGAGCACAAGGCTGGGAGGTTAGTGTCATGTGTCGGTATTCAAACAGCTGCCTGCTGTGGATAAATAAAACAATGCTATAACAGTGAGAGTAAACCAGACAGCTAAACAAAGAGCTGAAACCTGTTTGTGTCACAAAATATACATATAAACCCCTCAAACCTTACAGAGCCACACCACGTACACATTTGTCCTTGGTTATCAACATAAATACTCCGTCATATGCAGAACAAAATGACTTAGACATTTGATCATTGATAAAATGTTTTTTATTTACTTGACAAATAACAAGTAGGAAAAAAGAGAATAACTTTCCTTTGATCGATTTATTAATAGTTTTAAGCACTAACAGCATTTATTCCCAATAACTGAATGCTTAGGACTTGTTTACAGAGATTCAGACACACATGGATAATTGTGATGTTTAAGGGACATCACAATGTCACAACTCAGTGTGAGACAGATACAGAAACCTGCAGAGAGCAGCACGGGCTGTAGCATTGGGAGAATTTTCACTCTGGTGTGATTTCTCCCAGAGCAGCGCAAAAAATCTGTTTCACCTTTTTGTTTTTTTTATAGATGGATTCCTTTAGGCTGCTTTGAACAAACTGTGTCTGTGTTCACACTGAGAAGTTTTACACAAAATGAAAAAGATGAAGTAATGACAGCCATCTTTCATTAGCTTATAAACTAATTAACTGCAGGGTTAACAGTGTAGTTTACCTTCTAAAGCCTGCTTATGTTGGTGTAATAAAAGTGAATTACAGGCATCACAGGATCCCTTTGCCCTACAGAGAAGCTGCCTTAATGCTCAACCCATTGTGCTGCCACACTGGTGCTGTTGGGTTTGTTCTTTTGGCACCCAGGGTGTCACACAGTGTAGATCTCTGCTCTTGTGTGCCACCGCCACTAAAACAAGCTACGGGAGGTCTGTACATTTCACACAGCCAATTTAACCTCCTGTCTGCACTCAGAAACTGCAGCACGGTATGTTTGTATCTGTGGAGGAGAAGCAGTATCACAAGGGACAGTGAACATTTTTATTAAATGTCGGAACCATTTCTGTTTTTATCTCAGTTCAACTTCACAGCGAGCTTTGTTGAAATTTACAACGAGACCCTGCGAGACCTCCTCTACACTGGGAAGGCCAGCAAGAGGCCTGAGCACGAGATCCGAAAGTTGAACAACAGTGAGGTGACAATCAGCAACCTCACCTACGAGAAGGTCTCCAACGAGGATCAGGTACGACAGGCGGATATCGGTCGAGTTATGTGACTGTTGATGATGTCTAAAAACATATGAAAGACTGCAGCAGTGTTGATGTAAATCATTTTTAATCCATAAAGAAGCCCACAGCTATGATCGACGTATCAGTATGTCAGTTTATTTATATTGTGCATTTGTTACTTTACAGTAAATAATCAATATGATCCCCTCCTCCTGCCAGGTTCTCGGCCTGATTGCGTTGGCCAATCAGAATCGGTCCACAGCCCAGACAGCTCAGAATGACCGATCCTCTCGCTCCCATTCAGTGTTCCAGCTGGATATTGAGGGAGTGAATGCTGGCAGGGATGTCAAGTGCAAGTGTGAGTACAGTCCCAGTGATTATGTATCAGAAATGTGGTAACTCCGGTTAATTGGTTAATTAATATTGACTCAGCAGTAATGTTATTGTGCCTTTTCCCACATTTACAGCAGATATCTTGTTTTGTTATCCAAATAGCTTTTAGCTTTCTCTTCAATTAGATTTTATTATAAATGCTTAATTTTTATTTATTTTTTTTGCTAAACCTGCATATTTATTTTTAATAAAGATGTTTTGGTTTGTTCTTGTGTTTACAGCCACTCTGTGTCTGGTGGACCTGGCTGGCAGTGAGCGGATGCTGAAGAGTCAGTCTCAGGGTGAGCGCTTCAAAGAGATGACAGCCATCAACGGCTCCCTGTCCAACCTGGGCATCGTCATCAGCGCACTGGCCAACAAGGTCTGTAATCAGGAGTCTGGATGAAAAACACTGAGTGCTCCTGAGGCTGTGAACCTTTAGATATATAGTTTATTTACACCCCAGGTTGGGGATGACAAAATGCTTCTCATTTTTGTTCATTATTTAGTATTTATTTGTTGTTTTGTTTGTGTTCCAGGAGAGCTACGTTCCATACAGGAACTCCAAGCTTACCTACCTTCTGCAGGGCTGCTTAGGAGGAAACAGCAAAACGTGAGTTCTTCATCAGCGTAGCTTCAGGACGTCAGTGTCTGCTCCAGCAGATGCTGTGTTACGTTGTGTCACTGGAGGCTTTTTCAGTCTTTAGTCCACAATAAGGGTTTTATCCAAAATTCATCAGATCATTTCAATGCAAGTAAGCTCAGCCTCCGTATTATAGCTTAATATTATTATAGTTACCTCTCAAACCAGGGCAGACAAATGACGACTTTACCATCTTTTTGCTGGTTTTAAATTCTCTCTCTCTTTTTAACAATATTTATGTTGATTTTCTGTTTTTCTCATCGCAGCCTGATGTTTGTGAACATCGCCCCAGAGCCAGACAGCTTTGGGGAAACCCTCAACTCCTTGAGGTTTGCCAGCAAGGTCAGTGCTTTCTGCGGTTGTTTTAATGTCCTTTCTTGGTGAGACAGTTGGTATAAGATCACATGAGAGCATTGATCTTGTGATGTGAACTTAATGGTTGTTGGGAAACTTCCTCTCAGCAACTCATAGTGTCCTGTCTCATAATGTCATTAGTATTTCTCCAATGTTATTTTATTTATTAGCCAGGAAAGTACAAGAGAAAGCTCTTTTTCAGATAAAGTAAGTGCAGTAGTTCCTGGCTAAATTATTAAAATGTTCAAAAATACCCCATGTAGTATTGTCAAAACAATAAACTCTTTAACAAATTACCTTGTTTCCTTGACCCAGAGCTATAATTTCCACAGAATTTAATTGAAATCTGTTGACTAGTTTCCAGACTGCAGCATTTCACTGTAATATCTTAATCATTTTCTTACAGTCGTGACTTTGGTATTTTTAACATAATCTTGTGTTTGTTCTCTTTACAGGTGAACGACTGTGTAATTGGGACTGCAAGTGCCAACAGGAAGTAGAGAAAGTGCTTAAAAAAAACTTAATTCTGTTCTCACTATGTTTTTTTTTAACGGTCATAACATGAAATGTTAAGTGTCATTGTTTTCTATACTTTTACTTACACATTTTGTTGTTTGCTGCACACACAGTGCTGCCAATCTGTAAGGACCAAAAACTAAAATCCTTTTGTATATTCTCAGGGCCTCATTTAGTTTTCACTAACGCAGGCTTTTAAACATTTTTATGCTTCTCTGTAAATCAAGTGGACGTGTACATACGCATATATTTGTAGTAGATTTTCAGTTTCTTTCCTTTCAAGGGTTTTTGACTAATGAGCTAGTTGAGACATTTAATCTCTATTGGACACATTTACTCACATTTTAACAAAAGGACCCATATTATTCAGATCTTTTGTTTTTTTAAATTTAAGCATGTTTGAGTGTGTTTTGTGTAACTTGCACAATAATTGCAAATAAAAGTAGTGCAATTATACTGATGCTTCCCTTTGTCTTGATTTCTGGTAATGGGGAGTCGTTTTGTGTCATTTTTTCTATTTGTACTCAACATGATGTTTATAATAAAGACATTCAGTAGATGGCTGCTTACTGTATAGTTCCTGTTCTGCTTTGTGTTTATTTCAAATTATTGCTAATACTTTAATAAATATAAATATTATGGCAGATCTTGTAACATTACTGAACGCATTTTGTAAACCAAACTACTGTGTTTTATATATTTGAATTCCCTTGTTTCATTTCCCAGACAAATGAGTTAAATGTCATTTGACTATGATATGGAAATCAACTTTCAGACATTTGTTTGAGAAGTCTATTAACGTCTAGTTGCTTTTATTCTGGGTCTTGGGTAAGGCTGACTAACTTTATTGCAGTTATGAGTTATGTTTTATAATAAAGGATAGATTTTAATTGCTTAATCAGCATTGCAGTCACATTAGACAATGTTTGCTTCAATCTTTTTCTGCAGAATTTCATCTATTTGTAGTATTTTAAAGATCTTACATACAAAAAGATAAAGAAAATGTTGCATATTAACCAACATATAAATATGTAAACAGTGT